AACCACACACACCAGAACTGAGACGCTCCTCCAGAATTCCTAAACCAACCCAACGGTATTCGCCTTCTTTACACTACTTGTTGCTGACTGACAATGGTGAACCAGAGTGCTATGATGAAGCAATGCAAGTGGAGGATTCAGTCAAGTGGGAGTTTTCCATGAAAGATGAGATGGACTCGCTTATGTCAAATCAGACATGGGAATTAGCTGAATTACCACCAGGCAAGAAAGCGCTCCACAACGAGTGGATTTACAGGATCAAAGAAGAGCACGATGGGAGCAAACGCTACAAAGCAAGATTGGTTGTCAAAGGCTTTCAGCAAAAAGAAGGTATTGACTACAATGAAATTTTCTCTCCAGTCGTAAAATTGTCTACAATCAGACTGGTGTTGAAAATTGTAGCTGCAGAAAATTTACATCTTGAGCAGTTAGATGTAAAGACAGCTTTCCTTCATGGTGATTTGGAGGAAGAAATCTATATGAGGCAGCCAGAAGGCTTCATAGAGGCAGACAAGAAAAACCTGGTATGCAGGTTGAAGAAGAGCTTGTATGGTTTAAAACAAGCTCCTAGACAGTGGTACAAGAAGTTCGATAGTTTCATGAGTAGCAGTGGTTTTATCAGATGCCAAGCAGATCATTGTTGCTACATCAAGAGGTTCGACAACAGCTTCATTATTTTATTATTGTACGTTGATGACATGCTCGTTGCAGGCTCAGACATGCAAGAGATTATACACTTGAAGCAAAAATTGTCGAAGCAGTTTGCTATGAAGGATCTGGGCACTGCAAAGCAGATTCTTGGGATGAGGATCAAGAGAGACACAAAGTCGGGGACTTTGATGTTATCACAGGCTGAGTACATCAACAAAGTACTCTCCAGGTTCAACATGCAAGATGCTAAACCAGTAAGTACACCTTTAGTTGTTCATTTCAGACTCTCCAAAGACCAATCACCAAAGACGGAGGAAGAACGTGCACACATGGTGAAGGTGCCGTATGCCTCAGCAATTGGAAGTTTGATGTATGCCATGGTTTGTACCAGACCAGATATTGCTCATGCAGTGGGAGTTGTTAGCAGGTACATGAATAATCCGGGCAAGGTACACTGGGAAGCAGTCAAATGGATCCTCAGATATCTTCGGGGTACCACAAACAAAGCACTTTGTTTCAAAGGTGGAGATATGATACTGACAGGCTATGTAGATGCTGACTTAGCCAGAAATGTCGACATCAGAAGGAGCACTACAGGGTATGTCTATACTCTAGGAGGAACTGCAGTGAGTTGGGTTTCTCAACTACAGAAGATAGTTGCTCTCTCCACAACTGAAGCAGAATATATCGCTGTTACGGAAGCCAGCAAGGAGATGGTTTGGCTCCAAAGTTTCTTGGAAGAGTTAGGCAAGAAACAAGAAAACAATATCTTGTATTGCGACAGTCAAAGTGCTATCCATCTAGCAAAGAATCCGTCTTTTCATTCCAGGACAAAGCACATACAATTGAGATATCATTTTATCCGGTCTCTTCTGGAAGATGGGATTTTTGAAACTTGAAAAGATTAGTGGAGCTCAAAATCCGGCAGACATGTTGACAAAGACGGTGACTACGGATAAACTGAAGTTGTGTTCAACTTCAGTTGGCATGCTAGAATAACAAGACCAGACATGCTGCTGCATTGATCGAGGTGTGAAGACATATTAAAATCAGTCTTCAAGTGGGAGATTGTTAAAAGTTTCAAAGTTTGGCAATCAACTTTGGAAAATGTTTTTTTCAAAGTTTGGTAAATGTTTCTTTGAAAAATGTTTTTCAAAGTTTGGTAAAATTTTGGTAGATGTTTGTTGAAAATAGGAATGGGTAAATTCACTTTAGTCATTGCACTTTAGGGTATTTTCAAAGATTAGTCCCTAAGTTTTTACTATAAATACCCTTACCCATTTAGCTTCAAAATCATCCCAAAAAATTTCTTTCTTCCTATACTAGAGAGCTTTTCTTGTGAGTAGTGAGTGTTTTGTAAACACCTGTCAAATTTTCTCTCTTAGTAAAAGATCTGTAGCAACCCGGAGACGTAAGCACAATTGGCTGAACTCCGTTATCAATTTTCGGGTATTATTTTTCCGCTTTTATTTCGCATTCTCACTAATCTGGTTATATGGAAATTACTTGTACTCGGTTTATTTTCCTAACAGATTGCTATCCACGCCACGAGCACGAAATGTCCGATTGTCTACAAAATAACTAGAGTGGCATAGCTCTACGAAAAACCCTTCGGGTTTATCTTACTCCGGCAGCGCTTGACCTTCTCCAGTAATGAGCCTTCTCTCTTCTTCTTTCTCTCTTTTTTATTGTTTGGTTTTTCGAATCTTTCCCTGTTTCTCCTTCTCAATTCTTCTCATTTTCTTTTCTTTTCACTTTTTTCATCTACCTGAATCTCTCTCTCCTTTTTCTCTAGTTGCTTCCGAATTTTATGGTGGGTTATTGTAGATGTGGTATAGGGGTAATGATGGTTCTCCATATTTTTTTGGGGGAGTGGGTGGATTTGCTCTTATTTTTTTTTAGATTTGATTTGGCTTTTTTCACTGTTTTGAGACAGGTATGGTTCAATGATGATTCAACTGAGGTGACGGTGATGGGAGTGACTTCGACTAAAGTGGCAACGACGGCTGGAGGCTCCTCGACAGTGAGCGGTGGTGGCTACTGTTGATGGCTTAGGGTTAGCCAAATTAGGGTTTTGGGGTTTGTTGGGCCTGACCCAATTGGATATGTTGTTTTTGTGCCTGTTTGGTCTTGTTTGGGCGTGTAAAAATGTAAATAATATTAATTATTTAATATATAATATATAATAAAAATAAAAAAATGACAATTCGGACAAAAATTTATGTCTACAACCTCTATTCGGCAACATTAACTTTTTCTTTCGTTTGAGCGGTTTTCGAACATCTAAAGTTACCCTTATACGCAAACTTCCTTTTTAACCCAACGAAATCGCAGCAACATCGAACTCAACATAACTACCAAGAAAATTGCTCAGTTGCTTCGTAACATGCTCTGAAATCCAGAAATTTACAAATTTGAGAGCAACAGATCGTGAACCCTCCTGCTGTGAGATCCGATGAAAGATTAAAAGATAGGAGTTAAAATAGCAGGGTCCTCCGACCCATATTCGTTCTACATCCACCTCATGATAAAGCCTAAAAAGATAGTGATCCCCTTCTAATCCATTTATCAAAATACCTGAAATTGGATGCCACACAATAGCCATTATAGTTTTCATCGCATTGAAATTGATATTCCCATAAGTGTGAAACCTTCCCACAAAGCAGTTTTCATACGATACCAATTTCGACCCTTCCGAACTTTCAATTTGTAGAGCCTCCTCCTTAGGGATGAAAATTTAACCCGAATATGACGGGTTCTGACCCAATAGGGTCGGATTTTTTTTAAAAAAAATTGGGTTCGTGTTCGGATAAGGTCGGGTTCGTGTGGAGTGTGAAAAAACTCCAACCCGACCCTAGGATAATAGTGTAATTTCTTTAAAATTTTTATTATTATTTAATTAGGTTCTTATTTTTTAACCGGGTCGGGTCAGGGTCGGGTGGAGAATATATATTTTTCGGGTCGGATAGAAGATATAAAATTTTCATGTTGAGTCGGATTCGGGTTGACAAAAACCCAACCCGTTGCCATCCCTACTCCTCTCCTAAATCTAGATCCTCAAGTTCCCTCTCTATATCACTCATCGCCCCCGAAAATCAAAGCAAACCTAATGGAAGAAGAAAATCACAAAGCACAAGACGCTAAAAACCCTAATACTGGGTAGAGAAAAACCCTGGACTATTTTATCTTATTTTTTTAAAAGGACGTCATTTTTAAATGAATACGAGTCAATCAAGTTATTTTCTAAGTAAAAACCATTTCTAGTAAATTTCACTCAATTTAAAATAACTTTGAATGAATTAAAGGATCATAATCTAAATGTATGTATTCAAGTTTGCAATTGTCATATTTAGATTATATATAATCACTTAGGTACCAATTTTTAACGTTGTGTGGTATTCATCCTTCCCCATGCGTAATCAAATCCCAAACCATTTTCAAAACTAATTTTTGGTTAAAGCAAGCTATTTTTGTCTTTTAAAGAATTTTTATTAATTTTCTTTAAAAATATATTTTAGGTATTCAACGTACCTAATCCAAAGGTCGATTGAATAATTTGTTTTTCTAAACTCGAACTTCACCCTTTTAAATTTCTAAACATTAATCCTCCCTCGTCACCACATGGCTTAAGGACTATTCAAACATTCTTTTTCCTTCATAAGGTTTTCCTAGTAATATTTTAACGAGACATATATTTTACATTGAAAATCTAAGGGGCAACGTTATGAATATTTATTATTTGTGGAGGTCCATTATGATTAAAAATATATATATTAAACAAGATTTTTTATTACTTTTTTATTATGATTTTGATGTTCATTAAGTTTAGAGTTCTATACAATATATTTTCAGTGACAAATCTAGACAACACAATTTGAGGGGCTATATAAAATTTTAAAAATTGATGAGGGCCAAAAATAATATTCTCAAAATCTTGAAGGGTTCAATTTAAAATTTCAAAAACTACGGGATCTAACTAAAATTTTCAAAGATTCAAAATTTTGGAACATGATAACAAATTTTAACTTTTTTTTAGACGGTAAAATTAAAACTTTTAAATTTTTAAAGGATCGAGTTTTTTTTATATATAATTTTGTGGGAGTCAGTGTGCCTCTGGTCTGTTGCAGTCTGTTATTGTATCTACTCTTTGTCAATACAGATATAATATTTAAAAAATATTATATACATTTTACTATATAATAATCTATTTATTCTCGTATCTCTTATTACTTTATTTTTTTATTTTACATTAAAAAAGCACAACCTATTAAACATAGTAATGAATACTTGTGTCTAAAGCAGTGCAACTCCGTGACATTCAATTATTATAGAAAAGTGGTAGTGATAAAACTCAGAGATGAACTCAAACGTAAAATGTTGTTTAGATTGCTAGCTCATCATATGACTGTGTGGATCAATAAGTGCTGCAATGGCTGTTTCGATCTGCATCTTTAATCCTTCTTTCTCCCTTTCATCAGCCTGCATTTATCATATCACATCAGCATATATATATATATATATATATATATATCTATTTCAACCCTACCTAAATACTATTAATTCTGATTTTAATCAGAATTAGTTTAAATAGGAACGTAAATGAATCGAGTTTGAACGAAAAAAATTGTGTTGGTGTCTGTTTATTTATTTTTAGAGTGTTCATATTTGATTTGTGTTAATGAAAGTTTTTAATATCTTGTTCTTATTCATTTATTTATTTTTGAAAGAATTCGTGTTCAGTTTGTTTAACATTCTAAGTATGTTCGTTTAACGTTCATTTGATGCTCACAACCAACTCTCTATTTTTACCTTTTATTTGCAAACCGAAGAAAGATGATAAACTTATGCCACTAGTCCTTAAGCTCCTTAGGCTTCACAATTTGAACTTCAAAGTTTACGCTATATTCAATTTAGCCCCCACATTCACTAATATTTAAAATATAAAAAATAAAAAGAAAAGTCGGATAAACAAGCGTATAAATGAGTCAATAAATAAGCTTGTTCGTGAATATAAATGAATCGATGTTTGTTCGTGTTCCTTTGTTTGTTAAATGAATATAAAAGTTTTGTTCATACTCGTTTATTTAACTTAATAAATGAACATAAAGAAACGTTATATTAAATGAACATCATAAGAACGATTCACGAACAGTTAAGTCTATGTATATATATACACAAACTAAAGTGTAGTTACCTCAATAGTGAGAGTGTTCAACAGTGTCCCTGCAGGGAGAGCAGTGATGTTTGCTGTAATAATTTTGAGGTTGAGTGATTCAAAAAGTTGACAGAGTTTAACAATGGTTCCCGTCCTTTTAGTGCACGTTATGCTGACCAGCAAAGTGTTGTCTCCCATGGGCATCACTGTATGCTGCAAAAGTTTTAGAACAAAGTTAAAGAAACGAAAGAGAAGATTCGATTTAATCAATGAAATTAGGTAGAGAGAGAAAGATTAGTGTTTGACTTGAAGAAGTTGAATCGGAGAAGATGATGAATTGAAAACGTCGGTGTTGTGGGATCCTAGTAGCGGAGGCAGACGCGGCTGCTCCTCCGTGTCTGGATTATTGTTGTTCTCCATCTTCATGATCTCGATTTGGGTTTTGGCAAGCTGTTCCTGCAGCTGCAGTTGCTGGATGTAGTTGATGGCATCCTTGATTACGGAAGCTTTGTCCAACTAAATATAGAAAAGAGGCAAGTGATTGTTACGGTCTTACTCTTAGGGTGAGCATTAAAAAAAATTCGAATTAGCCGAGTTGATGAATCATATTTTATAAATTAAATTTTATTTTAAAAAATATTTCGATACGTAACTACGCTAGGAATATTAAAATAATATAGAGTAGGTTGCCTTGGTGATATTTGGAACAACTGATCTGAGAGACAAAAGGCGTTGCTGAAGCTGCTTCCGCCGGTTTCTTTCGGAGACGAGGTTCTTAGAGGCGGAAGAGGAGGCGGCTCCGTCGGGAGAACTGGAATCATAGTCCCAACTGCATGCATGCAAAGCAAAGAAATCAATTTCCCTTTTGCTCGCCAAAAACAAAAGGTGTAGGTTTAGAAGGTACCTAAGTTGTTGGTTTTCAAGGGAGTATACAGTTCCCAAATGATTAGTGAAATCACCAGCATTCTCGATATTCTCCATCCAAAGCAATTTACTTGAAATAAAGAATGAAAACCAATATTGTATTATATATGGTGGAACCATCAGAGATGTGAAAGGAGTACGTAGAACCAGGTTTGAACAAAAACATGTGGAGCAGAGCATGGCCATGCACATTTAGTCGCTGGTCTTCCCCCCTCATGCCTCACGCATCCTATCAATGTCCCTACAAAAACATGTAACACGACTTTATCTTCAACCTTTTCACATTTATTTAGACTGAAAAACTTGCTTCACACCCAATTAGGACCATTTTGTCATATTCATCCCATGGACTTATTACTAACCATTTCTTATGGATTACGAATAGCAAATGGGAAGGGACGACCTTAGTGCTGTATTGTTGTTTCTTGTATAATATAATATATGCCGCTGTCTACACGTGAGTATTCGATTGAATGGAGTCGAGTCAAAAACTTTTAAGTCATTTTAATTGATAACTCTTATTTTATAACTCAAATTTGATTTGAATTTTTTTTGGGTTGACATAAGTTTATGAAATTTGAGACGAATTATTCAAGTTTATGCTAAATTTAATTATAAACATTTCTACTATTTTAATACTATTTGATCTAATTTAAACAGTTTTCTATAAACATATATATTATTTTTTTCATATAATATACATATATCATGTAGAGTCAAATAACTCGACTCAAACTTAAAAATTAATCGACTAATTACTAAAAATTTTGAGTTATTTGAGTTTTATTTCAAAACTCAACTCGAGTTTAAAATTTTTTGGAGTCGAAAATTTTCGAGTTAAATTAAATAAAAAATCAGATTTTCGAGCTGAGTGAAATTTTATTTACTCTTACCGTCGTCAATTAAAATATAACACCCAAGGAACACATTTATGAAATTAATTATAACATTAATTAATACAAGAGTTAAATTAAGGTCGGGTTGGATTGGGAATGTGAAAGTGGTCGGTTTATGGTAGAAACGGCCGGAGCTATAGTGTCCAGATATGCTGATGAAGATGAGGAGAAGAAGATAAAAATATATAATTAGAAAATTTAAGTAGTCCCTAGGAAAATTAGGTTTCAAGCAAACGACGTCATTTTGGGTCTTTTGAGCATTAAAACAGTAACACCAAAACGACATCATTTAGATAAGACAACCACGTCAGTAACGTCACGGCATACTGTTGTCATGTCATCATTCCATTAAACCATTAAACCTTAGTGACATAATTACACTTAAAAGTAAACGTTAATATAAAATTGATAAAATTAAAATATTAGTGGTATAAACGAATCAATACTAAAAGGTTGGTGATATTTAAAGTAGTTAACCCATAAAACTTTAAAATGAATCACATCACACTACAAATCATGATATTGTACATGGGGATGGGCATGGATAGGATGGGGCGGATTTTTTATCCATCGATCAGATCTGAAAATTATAAATTTTTATTCAATCCGAACCTAACCCGATCCGACCTGGTTTTTTGACATAAAATTCGAACCAATTCGACCAAAAAATATATTTATTAAAAAATATTATTTTTATTCAATAAAATAGGAATTTAATTAAAATAAAATAATATATAGATGGGGTATTATTGCAATTATCCCTATTTATATAACGTACAATTATAATTTTTTCAGATCGGATCGAATCATATATTTTTTACTATAAACCAGATCCGACCCGAACATAACCTTACAAAAACTTAATCTAACCCGAACCCAAAAACTTAAAAAAAAAATCGACTAACCAGGTCAGATCAAGTCAAAACTCGTCTGTTTGGGTCCATACCCATCCTTAATATTTGCATAACACTCCATTTAACTAGAGAGGGGCATAATATTCCCTTCCACCACACCACATCAATCAAGATGGTTTCTATTTTAAAACTATCTACAAAGCCCTATAACATAACCTAATCGTGGGATTAATAAAAAATAAATAAAAACCCTAATCGTTGGATAATTATATGATCGTCGAATACTCAAAATATCTAACAATAGGATAATTATATGATCATCGAATACTCAAAATATATAACAAAGTACCCAACAAAAGCAAACCAGAAAATAAACCATACCCCATACTTCTACAAAAGAATTAATCAGTAACTTTTTGCCTAAACCGAAACAAATAAATTACACATCATTAATTTAATCACCTCCTTCTCACCGTCTAAACAAACCCTCTTTTTTTGTTGTGCTTGTGCGTCAAAAATTTGACCTTAAAATAGTTTCATTAGTTGCGCATCAACGAATGTGACCTTAAAAATTACAAATTGAAACATTAAACAGACAAAATATTTAGAACACCTAAAATGAAGAAGATATAGATTAACCAATCATTTTTATAATTAAATTTAGTATAAATTATATAAATTTTAATATGTTAATTTATTTTGTTCTGAGACATCCATATATACTTCCTCGCATCATATATTCATGTAATCTTATCACAATCAAGATTATCAAACTATATATATATAGTATAAGGTAATATGAATTAAGGATTAAAATACAAAGAAATTTCTTGAAAACTATGGATCAAAAACTAACTGGGAATTATAAATAAAACATGACTGAGCAAATATCTATATGGAATTGTTCTATGATCGACACTAACCACAATACGAAACCAAGTGTAAAAGGCATATAAAGAATATATCATACACAGTTCAAAAGCAAGCCTAAAGGTATTGTTTTAGTTAGCAGCCAAATCTTCATACTGCCATGGGTTGAATTCAGTGGACTTAACGTCAATCTCCTCACTGCTACTCGAGCCACCTACCGCAAGCCCGGTGTTTGTCATACTTGCCATTGTATCGATAAACTTCCAACTCACCCCAAGGTGTAGCAGCGACTTCGTTGGTAAAGTCGAACCATTTGGGTGTAAATTTATGGCCCTTTTCCTCTCTGTTTTTCTTTTCAGCTCTCTGTCTTTCCTCCAAACTGCACAACAAAAAGAAAGCTTATAAAACATCATAATATCATGTGAATTGACATGATCATATCATAGAGTGAAAAGTTGATAAAATGAAAGTTGTTCAGAATGAAAGACAATACCATAACCTGTTCCACCTCTATCAAACAAAGTTTATACAATCAGCAGAATATATGTGATATGCATACAGGTATAGGCAGATTCTAAAATCTAATTCGAGGGGGAGAGAAAATACCTGCCCTTTTCAAAACCTGCCTTAGAGAGGTCACCCTGCTCTAGTGCATATCTATCAGGACGTAGACGAGAATCAGATGCTAATAGCTTCTTGGGAGCTGTATCAAAGCTGTTAACCTTATGCGCAAAATTTGTGTACTGAAATTTATCATTTTTCGGAACATCAGCAAGTCTCCACGACTGCATAACAGCAACAGAATAATGACAAGTAGATCAGTATCAGAGACATAATCTTTTTTCTCCCTTTTGTATTTGTTAAAGCATTACATATTATTACCACAGCCCACAGGTAAGTATATATCAGTCCTCAACCGCTTTGATTTTGAAATCAAAATACTCATCATGCAATAGAGAAAATGTTTATGTTAATAAAACTTTAAGAATCACATATAAATTGCTACTGAACCAGGCACCACGGTTCTCTCAATCATAGTTCGAAGCAGCACTATTTATTTAGCATTTGGGAAGCTACTGGGAAAGGTATAATACTTGGAGAATAAGTGTGGTTTCACCGTTCTGACTGCAAATCTTGTTTCAAAATTCGAAGTTAATCACTAGGGGGAAACACACAGCTTGTAATCTGCTTTCTGATTTAGAATCACATGTTAAAAACATCATTATTCATTTTTCTATTTCTTTTTCTTTTTCTTTTCGCAGGAAATACAAAAATTCCAGAATACAAGCATCAAGAAAACTCTAGGAGTGTTTTTGGAAGGAAAAAAAATGAAAACAACTCAGAGATGCTGTAAAAGGCTAACCTCCTTTAGTTCAGTGCCTGGAAGTGGTTCCCCTTCACTATCACAAGGTTGATAACTTATTGACTCGTTCCATTTCCCAGTCATCAAAATCTTTGGCTCCTCAGCAGAATTATATACATATCCATCAATTTCATACCGGCCGGCCCTGTGAACAACCAAGACCTAATGTTAAATTGCACAGTGGAACCCTTTAAAATCTTGACGAGCATTCTTTTTTGTGTCTCTCCAAACAATACAGAGAGGAAAAAACTTGGAAGTTGGAGCCTACATGCAGGTGAATAGTGATTTCTTAGAATAAAACTAAAACCATACCCAAACCAACCACACGGTTGAAAATATAGCACAGCTTTGTCGCCTGTTGTCAAGTTTGTCATGATCATCTCCCCGGGTGAGTCAACCCAAGTTCGTCCAAAAATTAAATTGTTAACTTTCGTTGGAGGAGGCACCAAATTAAAAACTGCACCATCTCTTTTGAGGGTCACACGATTCCTGCACACAATTATTTTAGAATCTATGCATCAATACCAACCCTAAACCTTAAAAACATGCTGAAGTTTACTTTCATCGATATCAAACACCATGAAAGGATAACCCAAACAAGTTCAATTTTATAAGATGAGAGGCATCCTATAAGATGATGGTTCCAAAGAAGATTAGGCGGGGAAACAGAAAAAAATCAAGCTTATGAATGATAGCCACACAGTCTCTGACAGATCAGAATGCATATAAACAAGTTCTTCCCTCCACATTGCAGTGTTCTTGTATTGAGGGCATATGTAATTTAAAGGGAAAAAACAAAAAGTCAATGCTAAATGCACAGCAACTCAAGTATTCAAAATTTGTTGAACTTTTCAACTATATTCAACTCAAATACAGGCCGAAAATTCTCCAGCAAAAATAAACCGAACTGCAAGAAGAGACCTTTACATTACATTAAAAATTAGAAATTATTGTAACCTCCACAAACTCCAAGATTAAGGCTGCTTCTATTAGCTTATAAAACAAGCTAATAATTTATATATTATTTTACATGATGAAATTGAAAAATTAAAACAAGAAGTACGAGTAGGCCCT